AWAWAAAAAAAAAATCTACTTCCGAATCATCTCTGGTSCCCATGACTTTTGTCTGATCTTTTTTTTTTCTGCATCAGTTTTCAAAGAGGAAGCCAATTCGTGTTTGTTCCGATAGGTTTTGAGTCAATTTTTTTCGCCTGACAAGGATTGTAACGTAATTTTATAGACCCGTTCCCCCTTTAATCCAATTTCTGAAAGCGAACTGCTTATTTTAAAAACAGCTTTGGAAGGATTTCAAGTGTTACTCCTCGATTCCGTATGGGTTTTAAGTTTGCAATCCATTTCTATTTAATTTGGCAAATGCAAAATAAACATACCGCAAGAGCGGACTTCCCCGGAGTAATTTTTATACCTGACTTGTGTAGAGAAATGTATTTGGAACGTGGATCTCGGGCTCACATTTCATTTTATTTAGATCTGTATTTATAACGTTAAGCCTATTGATAATAGCATTCCTGTATACTGGCCAATAAAATGGTTCCTTATATGGTATTAATTTTGCTAGCAGTGATATGGCCCTCATAGGAATCTGATAAGAGTTTGTCCATCACACATTAACACGTTGTGGGGCAAGTCAGGTTTGGGAAATACAAATAACATTGTAGAAGGAATTGCGGATGGAAGGCAAAAATAGAAGGATTTCTATAGGCTGCTGGATCTACTCCTATCACCGCATCCGACAGGCAAGACCCGCTTAGCACTCCTAAGTAAGCCTTGCTATAAGGCACATTTGCTCACACTGGAAAAATAAGGCGYCTTTCCATAAAGGTTTTATGGGTATTGCCAAGTTGTTACAACCTCTCCCTGCTCCAGCATTTCCATCTGACAAGGACAGAGCCTCGGGAGGGCCCCACCAGCTTAACTTGCCTACGGAAACTAACATTTGCGCCTATTTGTCTCCGGCATGCTCGTGGGTAACTTGCCTGGGGAAATGGTGAAGTGGGGGGAAAATAATAGGAAATAAAGCGAAGAAAATAAAAAATCATTATTATGAGAAAATAATGATAATAATAATAATGATAATAATAATAATAATAGTCTCGTCGGAGGCAAACACTAAATGGGGAAGCACGTGGGGCTGGACAGATCGATGGGCTGCAGGGAAAGCGGGGCTGGCAGCGGGAGCAGTGCCGTGTGGTCGCGCAGGGGCGCGGGGCGGCGCGGGGAGGCGCGGAGCGGGGCCGCGCTGGCCGCGCTCCGGGGCGGCCGCGGGGAGCAGCCCCGCTCGGGCCCGCCAGGCCTCGGTGGCCAAAATCTGCCGCCCCTGCCGGCTSCGGCCTCCCCACCCCGCCTGTGGCTCCGCTCCGAGAAGCGGAGCGCGAAGGGGCCGCGGGGGAGCCGGCCCTGCTCGGCGCACGGATGGGGCAGGCGCCGGGGAAGCCCTGAGCAGACCCAGACTTTGCTGCGATTAAAGGTCCTTAATCCTCCGGGCCAGGCATCTAGGCGACTTTGGAAAAGCATAAGCGAGAGATGATGGAAGTGAAAGCAAGGAGCATTTAGCAATTCATTAGAAAATCTATCTGTCTCTCTGTCTGCGTGCCTGTCTGTCTGCTATCTGTCTGCTCCCTCCGCCGCAATGGCATTTTGACTGGGCAGAGCTGTCTAGTATCTCTGGATTCATCTACTTATTCTTTCCATTATTTAGTACTTTGCTCATGAACGAGACGGTGCTTTTGAAGAGGCGAAGAGTGAATGGTCCAAGTGGGGAGGGAAGCGGGAGGGGGTTTACGGGGGGGGGGAATAAAAATGATCGCCCAAATATAAACACATCAATAAACGGGGTGTGTAGCATCCTGTGCGAATCCATTTGAACTGCTCACGTCTGGATTCTTTCTGTGGCATATGTCTGGCTTGATATTTTAAGTGGCGATCAGGGCTCGGGAAGAGTCCAACGTTAACTAAAGTCCTGGAAACTGCGACCGCACAATCAATCCTCCTGGAGTGGCGTGGGTTCCTAATAGATTCTTCAGCACAGCAGCGAACATTTTTATTTCTAGTAAATTTAAGTCTAGCCTGGGGTTTTGGTGGTGATTTTCGGCTGGAAGCAGCCCATTCATCAGTAGTTTAACGCTAGCGACACGAGGCCCGTTTACAGTTTCCAATGATCCGTGCTAAACAATAACATGCCTTTTATTTCTTAAAAAATGAGACAATCCAATAAAAGGCGCAGCKCCTGGGCATGCAAAGCGGGGCTTTATTAATTCCGTGGCAAGCAGGGGCTGCGCGGGGTGGCGATGGCGCAGTGCTTCCTGCGAGCCCGGCTGCGGGGCGAGCAGTGGTAATAAAAGCTTCATCTCTAGACCGCTTCATCCTCGCTATAATAAACATCAAGACCGCCGGGCTATTTTATAGCGGTGCGTGTGATAACAGGGGAGCGAAACTTGGCGTAAGTGGCACCAAAACGCGCAGCGCGCGCGCTCCCGGGATGCAGGCTTGCGCACAGGCGCACGTGCGCGCCCAGAAATCCATATCGCACATTTATATACACATATATATCCCAAATTCAGAGGTCGACCTGGGAGCAGCTCCGTGCATACGAAACCAGACGGGGAGGGGTTGCTGGGGAGGCCCGGGTTTCCATTGGCTGCAAGCGCCTGCCGTGGTGCGGGGGTATCTCTAATCATATTCAGCATGTTTTGCACAAGAAATGTCAGCCAGAAAGGGCTATCTGCTCCCTTCGCCAAATTATTCCACAACAATGTCATGCTCAGAGAGCCCGGCTGCAAACTCTTTTTTGGTAGACTCCCTGATCAGCTCGGGCAGAGGGGAAGCGGCGGGAGCAGGAGGCGGAGGCGGAGGCGGAGGCGGCTACTATCCCAACAGTGGGATCTACCTGCCACAAGCGTCCGATCTGTCCTACGGGTTGCAAAGCTGCGGACTTTTCCCCGTTTTGGGCAAACGCAATGAAGGTACTTCTCCAAGCATGGTCCCCACCTCGCACCCCTACGTGTCCAGCATGGAAGTGTGGTTAGACCCCCCGCGGTCCTGCCGCATGGAAGAGCCGGAGAGCCAGCAGGCCACCTCGTGCTCCTTCGCTCAAAACATTAAGGAGGAGAACTCCTAYTGCCTCTATGACTCAGACAAATGCCCCAAGGGCTCGGCCGCCGCCGAGCCCGCTCCCTTCCCGCGCCTGAGCGCCGAGGGCGGCTCGGGCAGCCCCGGCGGCGGCGGGGTGCCGGTCCCGGGCTATTTCCGCCTCTCGCAGGCGTACGGCGCGGCGCGGAGCTGCGGAGCGGGGCCCACG